TGCTATGAAACTGGAAGAGAGGAGAACATTCTTTCTCTAGTTGCAAAATAGGACAGAATCTCTAAATTGTCTCTTGATCAGAACACATCTTATATCAAAACCAAAGATGGGGCTTCTAGAAGGCACAACGAGGGCCTTCTCAGCTTCTGGAGTGATGCTGAGGGTGCACCATTGAGAAACGTGGGCCATGAAGGGATAGGACTCTTCCACTGCAAGCACAAGCCACCTGCCCAGGCTTCAGTTTGACATCTCCGCGATTTCGGGGTCCTTCAGGAGCCAAGGAGGGCATGGAGCTTGTGTTGAGTTAGGAATACAGCTTCTGCTGGTTTTCTTGCTGTTTTTCTTAGAAGCTGTCCCCTCCCCACACAAGGGCAAACAAAATGATCAAACCAACAAATTTAGCATGAATTAAAAAATTGCAATGCACCAAAAAGCATGTGCATGCTGGGAGAGAGGAAGCTGATGTGGAAAATCAGTGGTACTGCCTCGCCACTTAGCCAGGGTCCCAGCAGGCTGTCCCAGGTCCTGGAGGGCAATACACAGGAGCCAACAACCTTCTCCAGGTGGTCACTCGAACCGTTAAAAGCCCAGAGGGAAAAACAACAGTCGGGGGTCCTGCTGAAAGCTTCACTAGGTAAAGGAGAACGGTTCATATCTATGAAGAATGTGCACATGCGTTGCAGGTACGTATGTGCGTATGTCATGCATCCATAAACATAAGCACGGACATGCATGTACACAAACACTTCTATAGCTTTCAAGTCTGTCCTCTGAGCTGTCAAATTTTAAAGAGGATAAACAAGTGAAAAGTGTATGTTTCTCTTTGACATTTGTTGTAAGGTAGCGGTTCTCGAAACCAATTGTGTATCAAAATTACCTAGGAAGCTTTTTAAAAAGTACGGATGCTCTGGCCCCACCCCAGATGTGCTGAATTAGACCTCTCCCCATGAGGAGTATCTGGGAATGACCGCATTTGGCACGTGCGACAAGGGCTGTGCAAACCAGCCAATTGCCATTCCACAGGTTAAGGACAGCATGCTTGCCCTTCGCTCCAGGGCTGTGCCCGGAATAAAGCCTGGTGTTTAAGATAAGGAGCTTCAAAATCACTGTTTGGGGACCCTTCCGAATTTCACAGTGCTTCCATTCGGCTTGTAGTGAGAAGAAGCGCCCTTAGGGATGAGGGCTGAGCCTCAGGTTCCAATGGAAAAACATCACCGCTCCAGTCCTCTGGCAGGTTTCCTGGCTGAGCCTGAGCTTTCTGAAGAGGAGGATGGCCTTCCTCCTCCACCACATGATTCTCTCTTCACCCCAAGGAAAAGGAATGAAAGCTAACATTTCTGGAGCTCATACTATGGACCGGGTGCTGAGCCAAGGGCCTGCATTGAACAACTGTTACGAGACTACAGGTGGAACTGTTGTCCCATTTGGCAGATGTGAGAACCAAGGCCTGTCCATAGCTGTGAAGTAGTGAGGGATGGTCAGAAGCAAGCCTAGGCCATCAGGCTCAGAGGCCCACGTGCTTGGCCACTGGACACTATGCCTTCCATCAGCTCTGCCACGTGACCCACACAGTGAGAGGGAAGTGAGTAGGTAAAGAGAGAATTACTTTGAATCTCCACATTAATTCCATAATCAAATAGGGGAGTGTTTCTTAGCAAAATGGGCCTTTGCCAGCAGTACAGAAAGAGAGGGAACGAGAGAAAATACAGGCCAAATATGTGGAAACATGCGTGTTGCCTCTTTGTTCTCATGATACCAATTCATCTCAAGTGGTGGATTGGAATAATCACTTAATTTGGGTGATTAAGGTGCCAAGTGCAGCCTCTTTTCTTTGTGCTGACCACAATGAAGGAAACCCTACATCTAAGATGTAGTGCTCACAGCCTTCCCCCCCCACCCCCCAGCTTTTACTCTCCACCGCAGGCCTCCAGGTTCTGACATGAGTGTGAGATGTGTTCTCGTGGCTGAGAGAGGCGCCTAAGAGGTGCTTTGCTCGGTGTGTTCAAAGCCTTTCCCACGCGCAAGCCCGTCTTCTGCACGTACGGGAAGCTCTGCTTTCTTAGCCCCTTTTCCAATCACTTCCACATTAATTAGTAAGGGTATCATTTTATAAATTACAGCTTCATATCAGAGGAAAGCAGAGTTTATCTTAATTCAGTCAGCTGTGTGAAATACAGTACCCTAATTTTAGACGCCAGTTCTGCGGATCCCTGGAGAACGAGAATGACAGGTCTTCCAGAGAGAAATCCCAGCGGGTCCCCTGCTAGTCTCCAACAGCATCCCTAGTGGGGTTGCTGAAGGGATCCCAGGACACTGAGTGGCGTCTTTCCCACCATTAGCAATTCAGATAGGAATGCGAGTCCTCTGAGCAGCACAAGAGCAGGCCTAGTTCGGGCTGGGGCTCAGAGGGGCCCAGGCAAGAGGCTCCGGCACAGGAGAGGCTGAGGGCCCAGGAGTGGTGTGGGGCACACGCTGGGAGGGTGGGACCAAAGCTGGTGATAAACAGCAGGCAGTCTCAGTCCAAACTGGGACGCCTGATGTCTTCACTACCACAGGGCTGAGCAGGCAGGATCCGCAATTAGCTTCCTGCTTGCTGCTGCCAGGAGCCCTTGGGAAGGATGCCTGGGGTGGGGGCAGCAGGGCAGGCACACAGGACATGAGAGGTTGTGCTGCAGCTCCCAGCTGGGAAGAACAGTACCTGCAGGGACACTACGGTTCACAGGAAAGAAAGACCCGGGGCGGTGGAGGCAGGAGATGCGCGCGCACGTCACGGAGCGCGCCAAACGCCCCTCCCTCCTCTGTCATCACGCATCTAGAGGACTCGCCTGTGAACATCTCCTTATTTCCTGTCATGCCCTAAAATCATCCTAAATTCTGAGTGGAGGTGCTGGCTCCTTTCCCACCGCCCGTTAGTCTGGTCTGACACTCTGCTGCGTCCTGCACTCAGAGATGGAAGCCCGGGCAGCACTGATGTGGGAAGCCAGGTCCTGGGGAAGCAGTAGTTCAGGTGCTCTCAGTAGGCAGGAAACACCCAACCCCTCTACAAACCACAGGCAGCTCTGTGATACCCCAAATTACCAGCCAGGCGACCATCTAGACACGTGTTACTGAGGTAACAGGCCTGGGGTGAGGCCCAGGCGTCGGGATTTTTACAGCTTCCCTGGCGATTTGGCAGTGCAGGCAAGGTTGAGACACCTACGCAGAACGCAAACCTGGGCAGCCTTACCACCTTCTACCACCGCAGACTGGTGGCACTTTTGAAGTTCCCAGTGCCTTCTACAGAAGGAATGGCTGCGCGGCTCTGAGACCCCAAAGAAGGCTCAGTCCCTTCGAGAAGTGCCCCAGACTTGGAAAGTGACACCAACCGTCCCCTGGAAGAGCTCATGGAATGGCAGAGCGCCCGTGGTGATGACTGCCTTGTGGGAATGTGGCCTAAGGGCTCCATGGGCCAGCGGACATGACTTGAACACTGACCCCCTGATTCTGTCCACGTGCTTCTGGCACCCACAACACACTGGCGCTCAGGACACCAGAGGCCTTACTTCTAAGGAGCTAAGACTCCTGGGGGCTGGAGTAAGGACGCTCCTACTTGTCAGTTAAACAAAAGAATAATCCACAGCCCCCTCTCCGTGTGTACTCTCGCTGTCATCCAACAGCCCATTACCATGTCACAGCACAGCGCACCCTTCCATAGGTCACTTTGTTTAAAATGACATGGATAATGCACATGTCAGCAAGCTGACAGTTCTGGCCGTCCTTCAGAGATAAAAACCTCAAGTCGAGAGCCTGTTCTTATCTGGGGGACATGCATTGGTCTATCATCCAAGTCAGGCAGAACATGATTTCTCCAGAGAGCACTTTTTTCATTTCCTGATTTTAAGGAAATCAAATAAGCACCATTTGTCTTCATCTGAATATGCTTGACCTGCTCAAATGATGATGTCTTGCATTTTTTAACAGGCTACATATGCTGAATTCAAATTAACACCAGTACAGAACAAGAGCCTTTATGTCTCATTGGAGGTCGGCAGCAGAGAAGGAGGGAAAAATCTGGGCTTCATAGAAGGACCCCACTAAAAGCTCGCCGCAGGATTCCAGTAAAATCAGCAAACGTGTCGGAAGTGACAGTCAGGAAACAGGCTCAGGAAAGCCAGCTACACAGGACAGACCCAGAAACTGGGACAGGGAGGACAAGTCCCTTCCTTTTGCTGCCAAGCAATATAGAAACCAAGATATTCGAAATACATGAGGTAAGAATAAAGTGAAAAATAAATTTGGTTGGGGGATCTGGACATCTGGAAAGAAAGACCCAATAGACAAATAATCCCTTTGCTCAGGCAACAGAAAGTTCACTTTACCAGGTAGTGATCCAATCTTCTGAAAGCTCAAAAACTGAGCTCCTTTTCTTGATCCACGTTGAACTGGATACACAGAGGCCAGTGGCCATCAGCCTCGAAACGGGGTATGTACCTGCTGGAAGAACGGCCCTCCCACCTGGCCATCCACCGGGATGAGAAGAGGAGCTCCCCTCTGACCTCCCCTGCCTTCCCTCCCCCCAGGATGACGTTCCTGGAAACACACCATTACCATGTCTATCAAGAAGGCCAGGGTGTACAGAAAAGTAGGAAGGAGCATATGGGCCAGTAAAAGAAATGAAAAAACGACATTATAAATATACACTAACACATTGAATGTTCCAATCAAGGTTTAAGAAAAATCAGATGGCTATTAAAATAAATAATTTCCTCTTTTGAAATAGTCTATAAAGCAATAACTTAGTGTCACATATATGGAATGTTAAAAGGTTTGTTTAAAAATAGTGGACCTCACAAATTAAAAGTTATTTCTTATCACAGAAAATGCCGCTGTGTGAATAAAGCCTATCTTTACAAAGAGAAAGGTGCTGTCACCATTAAGCTGGTGCCCCACCACCTGCAGCTATGTGGGAGCCATGGTGCCCAGTGTCTCATGTGCTATGCCCAAAATGGGGGGGGTCTTACCTTCTCTTCCTGGTCACTGTCGCTGTCACACTGAAAAGAAAAACCAGAGAATAAGGGTTAGTGCAAAAATTGAGTAGGTTTTTGCTTTTCACACAGGAAAAGAAAAAGCACGACATAAAAGGACACAGGAAACGCTGTCTAAGCTGAAGAGAGTTTCTTCAGCACTGGTAAACAGCTAAGAAGCAAAGGTTGCTCTGTGGGCTTCCCCTGATGCCTGTGCCCTGTGGCACTTCCTGTGGGCAGTCCGCCAAGTGCTCAGTCACCCCAGAGAGCCCCCGCCCTGCACAGCAGAGGGGATGCCCATGGAGGAGCCACCCGGGCCAGGATTAAGGTGAATCAGCGTCATTCAATGGGATTCAGAGCAAAACCAACTCTTTAATGGATACCTTCTACCTTCTGCTAATGTCTCTCCCGGTGCTTTTCTGGAAAAAAAAGAGATAAACCTCTGGACACTGCAGTGTCTCATTTGGATTTAAAGAAAGCAGAACATAACGGGCAAGCCTCACTACCTGTGATGGCTGCCTGTTCCAGGGTGTATAGGGGACATTCCCTATAAAAACCACGTCAAGGACAAGAGGTCAGGGGAACAAATCAACAATATGGGCCAAAAAAAAAATGTGTTAGGGCAGTGAACTCATACTATGTCTAACAGACCCCAAACTCCAATGGTTGAGCTGGATTTGGGGGAACCAAAGAATGATAATTAGCTCACAGCTTTGGGTTCCTCACTAAAAGTAAAGGGGGGAAAAAAAAGACCACAAAAGTATTTTTTAAATCAAGAGTGTTTTGTTTTCTGGTATTTTATTTTTTTAAAAGGGGTGTGTTTTGTTAGAGTAAATGCACAGCAGATAAATACAGCCACTCCACAGCCCTTGATAAGCACTGCTAAGCTAGACAGATAGTCAACCAAGACACAGGTCTGGCCCTAAAGAGGCTTTCGGCTTAGCGGTACAGTCACGCACTACTTAGCGACGGGGCGTGTTCCAAGAAATGCATTGTTTGGCGATTTCGTCATTGTGCGAACATCATGGAGGCACTTACACAAACCCAGATAGTGGCCTACTACACACCTAAGCTGTATGGTGTAGCCTATGGCTTTGAGGCTACAGGTCTGTACAGCATGTTACTGTACAGAACAACACAAGATTAAATCAGGCACAGAGAAAATGATGCAATCAGGAGACACGGTAAACACGAGATATATGAGGCTGCTGCTGGTGTAACACGGCATACTGTTTTTCAGTAAACTTTTTTTTTTTAAAGGTTTTATTGGGGAGTCGGGGAAGGGGAACAGACAAGTTGCTGTACTTTTGTTCTTCAGTCTAGTTGTGGAGGACGTTGCTTCACTGGCCCATGTTGGTATTATCATTGCGCTCTTCCAGGTGAGGCAGATTGGTTGCCGGCCTCTGGACGGCCGCTCACGGCAGCTCTTGGCAGTTCACGCTGGCTGCCAGCCACTCACGTTAGTTTACCACAGCCCACTGCAGCAGGGGCTGCAGCCTATGCCTTTGCTGGCGACTCACGGCAGCCCAGCTCCAGGTTGAGCTGTTGTTCACCATCTTAGCTGTAGAGGGTGCAGCATCACTGGCCCACATGTGAGATCTGAACCAGGGACCAGCTGCTCAGAGCTGGCATCGCAAGCCAACTTTTAACCAATGCGCCACTCAGCTGGCCCAACTTTCTTTCTTTCTATTTTTTTTTTTTTCATAAGTAGAAAGAGTACACTCTGAAATAATGATAAAAAGTATAGTAAATATACCAACCAGTAACAGTCGTTTACTATCATTATCAAGTATTATGTACTGTACATAGTTGTGTGTGCTATGCTTTCATGGGCTGCAGTGCAGTAGGTTTGCACCAGCGTCACCACAAGCATGTGTTAATGAAATGTGTTGCACTACAATGTCATGACAGCTATGAGGTCACTGGGCGATAGGAATTTTTCAGCTCCATTACAATTTTATGGGACCACCGTTTCTATGTGGTCCGCTGATGACTAAAATGTTGTTATTGGTGCTTGACTGTAGAGAACAGAGTTAGAGAACAACACTGAGCGGGGATGTGACATGGTCAGGACTACATTCTACATTTCATCGAGATGACCCTTCCAGTGGGGTGGAGGCGACACAATGCACTGCGGGGAAAGACACAGGGCATGGGGAGACCAGCCTGGCAACCATCACACTGTCTAAACCAGCATGGAGTGTGGTTTGAGAAAGGGGTGAACAGATGGCAGAGCAATTCTGAAGGTAGAACCAGCAGGGCTTGATAACACATGGATATGGGAAGCAAGTAAGAGGGATGAGTTAGGATGATGCCAAGGTTTTTAGTGTGGCCACCTGGATATGGGAGTTGATGTTGCTATGAACAAAAACAGAAAATAAATTTGCTTATACAGCAGTCACTATTGGCTAGATATACACAGCCATTCACAATCCCTTCTCCCTAGTCTGTATTTTCTCCTGTCTTTTCGAGGCTGAAAACGCCAGATATTCTCTCTCCCAACTTTCCTTGCAGCTAAGCGTGGCTGTAAGAGACATTTTTTGGCTGAGAGTTCAGAAGATGTCTGCTGAGGATTCTATAAAATTTTTCCCTCCTCAAAAAAAAGGAGAAAAGCAGGAAGTCCTTGCCTGTTGAGTTTGAACATGATTGCCTGAGGATGTGATGTCCAGATCTGTGGCAGCTATCTTGCAAAAATGAGGCAAAAAGCCTCAGTACAAAAACAAGATGGTGGGGCCAAGGGAAAAAAAAGCCTGGCACCGCTGAGCCACTTGAACCAACCTCAGAGCAGCCTGCCTCCGGACTTGTTTACCTTATCGTTTAAACCACTTTTGGAGTGCTTTCAATTGCAAGGAACAAAAACCCCACCAAAAGGGACATCTTGCTACTATAAGACACGATTTGGGGACTACTTCCTGTTTCCGGCCTAAGCTCTCTGTCTATAGGCATTTAGGAACTCACATCATAACCTGATGGACTGGAAGGTTATCACATGTTCTATGTTTTTCTCACTGGCTCCCCAACGCACAGTTTTCAGAGTTCTAGTGACAGTGCTTTGACCAAGTACAACTGCGTCATTTTCAGCCAAACTTCCAGCCTCAGACTGTGTGAACTTACTTTTGCCTGATGCCTGGTTTCTCTATTATAATAGGTCAAAGGAGTGGAGAAAGAAAATGGGCGATCTGAAGACTCTGAAGGCTGAGAGCAGCAGATGCGGGGGAACAACAGTTTTCCTGACTGCGTGAGTCCCCACTGCCTTTAATTAAGCCTTCCTGAGGCTCCTAAGCTCTGGGCACACTTTCAAGAGTGAAAACGCATGCTGCAGGACGGGTGTGCAAGAGGCAAGGGGATTTTGCCAGGCAGGCTCCTTTCCCCAGATGTGCACAGCCCACCTTGTGATGTAACCAATGGCAGCTGAAGGCTGGGGCACAGCATCTGTCCACATCCCCAAGGACTGGCGTGCAGGGGGCAGAAGCAGTGGGGAGGTCGGGAAAGACGCGCCACTGTCCGCATACCACTCCCACCCCCAATCCTAACTGTAGTGTATCCCTGGGAATGGTTATTTCTATCAAAGTGTTAAGCTTCCTGCTTTCCAACAGTCCAGTTCTAATTTCAAGGTCCACTTAATTCCACATCAAGTAATTACTGATATACCCAGAAGCACCTTGTCTCCAGAGTTAAGCATATGGTGAAGAACTGAGACCTACTGGTATCCATTATGGAAGCAGCACGGATGCCAAGCCGATTAAAAATGCTCAGGCTCCCCACACAACATGCCGGGTGAGTGACAGCTCCTCGACGAGGCCAGTCACAGAGTCTGCCAAAACAGTCTCTGCTGCACAGGGGCCCACATGGTGCGTTGAGAAAACAGTTCCATTTCTGGTATTAAATTCCCATACTGACCCGAGGACTTTGCCGTGAGCTCAGCAGGAGCGCACCATCCAATTTACAGCTCCGCTCTCTGGAGCCTCGAGTGCCAGCCCCTGGCAGAGACGAATGATGGTCAACCCCTCCAGCTCATAAATTATGCAAAGGCAATAAATGCACTCAGCAAACAGCGCCTAACGTTTGCCTAGCCTGGCTCCTAACACACTCTGTGAAAAGCCAGAAGCTCGGCACATATAAGAGGTCTATTCCACTCAAAAAGGGGGTTTGTTGACAACCCCAGACAGAAAGCGAGCCATAGTCCTAAGGAGTCTTTCTGCTTCGCTGGCAGCAGTTTATGGGCCTGCTTTATGAAAAAGGGAGGCTGTTTTATAGAGTCAGTGTGGGCAGAATTCATGGTCTCAAATTCACATTTAATACACTGTACAGCTTTCATACCCGAAGTTCAATACGTGGTGGGTTTTTGGCCAAATGATTCTTGGTCTTGAAAGGTTAAAAGAAGAAGTGTCTGCTCTCCAATCCCTAGACACCCACTCCAATTTATCAGAGTTCACAGTCAGCCACCTCCCGATTCAGGTCTGTGTTCTGCATGAGGTTGGGAAATGGGAAAGGCATGTCAAATGCAGAAGCAGGGTCCCAGCTGGTTTGACCATTTTAAGCATTTTGACATTGGGGTCCTGCATTGGTTTATTAGCAAACAGGTTCACACTAACAACCAGCTTGAGGTGACAGAGTCCTCTTCATGACCAGATTTGTTCAAAGCCTCTCTGGAAAGCTGAACACATTTTCTTCCATTTTAAAAGCAACAAATGAAAGGGAACAAGCAGCCCTTATACCCCAGCCAGGGAAGAAATCTTGGCCACTCAGCTTCAGACAAAGACACCACCCAAACCCACCACAGACAAAAGAGGGAAACAGGAGGCATGGAATCCAAGCCACATGCCTCAAATGCAGAATTAGACAGGGCCTAGCTCCTCACCTGAGCATCTGTGGCCATTCCTACACATCACCACCAGCTCCACCGTCACCTTCTCCTTCCTCTAGCTTCACAGATGGGACATGCAAGCCCCTTCCTCCTTTCCCAGACATGTCCAACCCCTTAAACTCTTCAACCCACCAAGCAACCCACCCACCTAGTAGTTTTT